AGGAAACAAAAATTTTCTATAGTTCTCACGTACTTCGTTCCTATATATAAACCAAATGATATAAAATTAATACTCAAGAATCTAAATCTAAATCCTTTGCTTTTACTCCATCTGTCCTAAAATATAAGCATTTTTAGTATAGTGCCAAGTCAAATAATTTTAACTTTAACTATTAATAGAAAAAATAAAACAGATCAATCATGTAAAATTGGTGTTGCTAGATTTATCATTAAACAAACTATCGTAATATGCAATTCTTTTTATTTAAAAAAAATCTTATTTTTATATATATTATTCATCAAAGTAGCATCTCAAAAATTGTATCGAAGTCAAAAAAAACTTATATTTTAGACATCAAAAAATACTTATATTTTAAACAGAGATAGTACTTGCTAACCAAACAAGTACACGGTCTCCATGCATGCACCGTCACATCGCCGGCCCGCGACCGATCGCCTCACACTGCTCGTGTCGCCGACGTGTCATCGTGTTTGTCCTCTCCTTTATTTTCCCTTGCTTTTGCTATAGTTTCTGCATGCAATGCCAGGTCAATTAAGGAGAGAGAATTTCAGATGCCTACTTAAATACTTGATGGATGACATTGCATTGATCCATACACAAAATACAGTCATTCACCATACCTAACTACTGCATGTATGCTATTTCCTCCGTCCTATAATATAAGAGATTTTAAGTTTGTGTTTTTACTGTTTGACCACTTGTCTTATTCAAAAAATTTATGTAAATATAAAAAACGAAAAGTTGTGCTTAAAATACTTTAGATAATAAAGTAAGTCAAAAAAATAAATAATAATTCTAATAATTTTGAATAAGACGAATGGTCAAACAGTGCAAGTAAAAACTTAAAATCCCTTATAATATGGGGCGGAGGGAGTAGCTATCAGTGTTGTGGAAGACGGTATACGGATATCGGACGGAGAGGGTACCGCTAAACGATTAATCGGAATGCGGACGATTAATCGGAATTTGGCGGAAATATAACGTTTTGAAAATATATGTACATAGTTGATAATAGTTTTCCCTTTTTGATAAACAAATGCATATAACTTAATATATTCCTTCTATATATCCTTAAATAGAATAACCATATATGATATTTAAATAAGTTCATAATGGATAGCTGCTACTGTATATCTCAATTCTGATGTAGTGATGGGTTTTGTTCATAATGCATGAAATGAATTATCAAGAGAATGTAGTACATAGCATAAATGACCATAATCAAGGTCCCAAATAACATATGTATCGGCTTCATCAAATACAAACTCCAATAACCTGATCATCGTCAAAATCAAGGAACTCATGTACAAACTTTAAGTCAGTTCCTTGTCATTTTACATCTTGCTGCCTTGTGAGAATTTCGGAAGAGCAAACTTCTAGTCAATAGTAGTAAAGGGCACAGCTAATGAGCTGGATTGTGGAATCGACCTTTGTCATCACGCCGATTATACGGCTGATTAGACGGAGACGGACGATTTAATCGGTAATGATCGGATTTATGCGTTCGTTACCGACTAATGATGACCGCATTGGCGTGACGTGACGGACTGATCTCCGTATCCGTATTATCGAACGTATTAACGGCCGTTAACACCGTTTTCCACAACACTGGTAGCTACTACGTTACTACATATATACTCCAGATATATATCGACAATTAGCTGGATCAGACATTCATTCTTCAGTAGTGCAGACGATAGAGTAGTTGCTGTATAAGTTGCTTGTCTGTAACGAAACGAATGGTATATTTGGTACATATCGAAGAAAAGGAGAGGTGATTACGTACAGATACGTTCAGCTAGCAATCTAGGACCGATTGGATCTTGGGACCGATCGATTTCGACGGTGTACAGAGCTAGCTAGCTTAGCATGCATTTGTTCTGTTGGAAGCTGGCATAAGCTACTCATGAGAACCATATTCTTGGGGAGAGAGAGATGGAGATCTATCGATCGAAAACGATATGCATCACACCCTCACCTTTGTGTGTGTCACTAGCTAGCTTCAGGTTTAAGCCCGATTCAATCCATGTGTGTTGTTACTACTATCTTGGAACATTTTCTCGTCAGTATGTAGTATCCCATCTTTGCAAGCAACATTGATTTTAGCTCAGTATATGACTATATGTGATGTATATGCATGTTGATGATTTGTACCTTTCGAATCTTCATCAGTGCCATGCATGCTGCATAGTGTTGATTTTTTTTAACGTGCAAAAGGATTGCACGTCAATATATTAAAAGAAATAGAGATTTTGTTACACGACGCAATCGGCTAGATAGGCCTATGCTGGGGTATGCTTGGGGGGGGGAGAGAGATAGAAAAAACCACAAAGGAAAAATGAAAGGAACTACTGCGAAAAGAAAACTTCTCCAACATAAAGGGAGAGGGAGGCGAAGCCACACTACACTCCTAGCAAATCTCCAAAAGCGGCAATGCCCACAGTAGACCACAGACGGCCTTCCGAGTAGATAGACTCAATAAGCACAGAGACCGAGGAGAGTGCCAATTCAACTACCCTGAAGTTCCGCTCCTTCCATAGCTGCCAAGAGACCAGGAGAACCAGGGAGTCGAAGCCAGACGCTCAGATAAGCAGGTCCTAGAAGATTGCCACCTGTCCTAAAGCGAACTGCCGCCGGGAGGGGAGAGCATAGTGTCGATCGAGTAGTAGACCTAACTAAACCGGCCACTGTCACTCGATCATCACTTTGTGTCTTAATTTGTTAGTGGCTACAATGATTTCAGCTGAGTGTAGTACATGATCAGATCATGCATCGGCCCATCGAGATCTAGACCGCGTTAAAGAGACTTAAAGTACATCGTCGTTGACTCCAGGAGCAGGGCATATGTGTGTCTCACACCGTTGACTCCGTTTGTTCATCATTCAGTCATCCGTAGTGGCAGGTGCAGATCAGACAGCAAACTAACGCACCAAAGCCTGAAGCATGCATATGCAGAAAATGCATGGAGAGACATTCAGTGTGTGATGATCCCGGCTCATTCCTCTCGATCGAGTTTGATTTCCATCGCTCTCATATCTGAAGAAAATTCATTGACTTTTCAAGATGCAAGGGTTGACAAGAGAGATGATGTATTAAAAAAACAGAGTCAAACAGATCCATGGTCTGATGTACATTTATGAATGAGAGTCAAAATGCCCCCGAAAACATCAGCTTATACATTCCATGTCCATTTCAATTCATCTCTTAGAATGTCCTGTCCTGTCTTGTTTAATTAATTTGGTAACACCAACCAAAACACTACTATTTGTTAGTTTACCATGAACTAATGCAACCATAGTCCATGGAAAAAAAAAACTTGTAGTATGAATTGATGCCCCTTTTTTTAGCTTATGTGTCGGATTATTGAAACAGATTATTTGTTATACCCTTCGAAAAATACGTTTTCTCAAAAACATTTTTCTAGTGAACTGTTTAGACCACTCATTTTAAGCTATCTGTTAATCCTGTTTCTTAAAATATTTATTTTTCATTTAATCAAATCGATAATATAAGATAATAATTTAAATCAAACATAACAGAACTGGTGTCTCAAAAGAAAAAAAAAGAAGAGAAGAAACAGGGAACTGAACTGAACTTGCATTATGTTCCTTTTTACAGTTAATTAAGTATATCTAGTAGCTGCATGCCAAACTGTAGAGTGAGTGCCCTGATCCTAACACAACTAACAAGAGGTGCCTTTTGACTCCGGACACACACACATGCAGTTAGCCGCAAAAAAATTCCACTTTAAATCTCTAAAAGCATATAATCTCTCATCTTTTCACTTTAAGTACTGTAGTTATATATTGGTCTTTCCATGCATGCTTCGGCAGCCAGTTCAGTCCTACAAATCTGCAGTTCGATCTTTGTTCAGTCCTATAGTTGATTAATATGTTTCTCCATGCACGCCTGATATAACCGGCCTTTTTCTTTTCATTCTTTTCACCATTAATATAACTGATCTTCAATCACATGCGGTCAGAGTGGGTGGTCAAAGATTTTTACCCAGAATCACATAGATGACGATTTAGTCAATTCTGTTGAATTAATGGCCATTAATTCTCCTTAGAGCGGATACAATAGCAGACTATTAGCCAGCTATAAATATATTTTAATGAGATAAAAGATTAGAGAGAAGAGCAGCGGGCTACAGATCTGTAGCCAGCTACAACACGGACTCCAAGACACAGTGTGTGTATGACATGTGGGACCATATATTAATAGTATAATAAGCAACTATTGTATGAATTGCTATTAGATTTGCTATAGATGAATTGGAGCTAGTAGTGGGCTATACTATTAACCTTGCTCTTATAATCCGTTATGTATTATGTGAGTTGTTTTGTGTGCATGTGTGTTACGTAGAGGTCAGAAGTGTTCTCTTAAAATAATTGTATCATCTCTTTGTAATTTAATGAATTCAATAGAAGCTTTTATTGCCTTGAAAAGTCATCCCAGCTCACTAATTCGTTGGTTTCAGGAAAGAAGATCATTAATTCGATCTTGTACCTTGTACCGTGTGAGAGGAATGTGACAGCAAAAAGGATTCATGGCTAGCTGGAAAATAGGGGAAATGGGGAATAAAAAGATTTGACATTTTGATTTTTTTTCAAGAACAGAATAAAAGGAAACAAAACACTAAATTCTTGCAAAAAAAATCTCTAAAGTTTATTTCATCTTTTAATCTGTAATTTATTGCCTAAGTAAACATGCCAAGTGTTAACTAACTTGAGAGACAACCACATGTTCAGAGACTCTCATGGCCATGTGAATTAAAGCAAAGAAACAGGCGTTTCACCCTTTAGTTCCCAGTTTGTTTTGGTTAAGTTGGGTAGTATTTGTCAATTGCCACCAACCTCTTTATTAATAGATAACTCCTTTTTTTTGCTAGGATTATTAATAGATAACTCGACAGCTACCCTTTTCCTACAAAAGAACACAACTATGTACAGGTAGCTAGCCGGCCAAGAACACAACACACGTGAAGAGTCAGAGAAAAAAAACACAGATTTAAACATAGGAAACACATAAATCAGCTTGTGCTACTACTGAATTAGCATTTGCTAGTTTTGGTTTCTCCACTTATATCTATTTGAAGGTGCATTGCTGGCCAACAGTTGCCAATGGCCTCTAATATCACATCTTCACCACAATTAGGGCCAACAATTGGTGTTATATATGCATTCAGTTGGTGATATTCCACTTGTACATGTTCTTACTCTCTCTCTGCATTATTCAAAATATTTATCAAGATTTGCAAGAAAATTTTGGGCATCCTACTACCGCATAGCTATGCATCCTAGGTCACCTTTGGGAGAAAGCAAGCTTGGCCAGGTTATGGAATGGAGTCCATGGATGGTTGGAAATTCCACTTGATTTTGTAAGTGGTAGATTTGCCTTATCATTGAAAAATATATGTTGTTATGATCATGGTGTCTTGGTGCTCCTGTCACAACTGATGGCGCGGAAGCTACTAGATTAACATGTGTCAGGAATGTGCAGGCCGGTGCATATATGATTGCAGTCGACCACTACTCACCTTTGATGTAGGGTCACGGTTGTATCACCCTTGCATGATATGAATTGTGGTATCTTCAGTTCAGGTTCTGATGTAAATCTAGTATTTTTGAGAAATTTTTTGTATAAGAACTTTGTTGCAATACCTCAATAAATGAAGTTACAAATTGCTCTCAAGATTGAGAAAGTGGATTTTATTCACTGGTGTCAAATATATATCATCTATGTTAATAATCACCTCAAACTATTATGAACGAATAAACATTATTTGCAGGTAGTGTTTTTATGTGAAAAATCATGAATAATATAAACCTCCACACTAATGAAAAATCATGAATGTTTTTATGTGAAAAGGGTTATTATTATTTTTTTTTATATTATCAGTTAAAGTTTTCATCATAGGTTGGTTGCATAATGTACCACATTATATTTCTTAAAACAGAGGAGGTGCATTATAAGTGGTCCTCATGAGTGTATTGCAATTGAGTTTATCTTTAATTTGTGGCTACAATTTTACTTTGATAGAATCTCAATGATTCCATGTTCAACTACTTTACCTCCCATTGCTAATAGATTAGTCAGATTATTTGGAGTGAATAATGTGCTTGTTGGGTCACTATGTTGAGTGCTCCACATAGCTATTTTACCATAAAAAAAGAGGAAAAAGGAACATTACCATTTATATTTTTTATAATAAATTAATTAAGGCCGCAGGGTTTGCGCATCCAAGTTCCAAATGCCTTTTGCCTTGCCGCTGACGTGGACCCACATGTGCACACGTGGAACAAAGCTAGCATGCCACGTCAGCAACTCCCTCCCTTGTGCTTACAAAAATCAAAGTAGGTCTCATAATCATCCATAGCCGCTGGATATACACAACGGTTAAAATTGGCCACCCCACTAACTACAACTACAAGTGATTCAGAGAATTTATCCCACCAATTGCGTAAAACTATTTGGAATCAATCGTCCAAGTGAAAAAAAAAATGCATATTCACCTTCCACCGAGCAAAATTTTTTTCTCAGAATTTACATGGATCATTCAACTGATTCCTCTTGAAGAAGCCAGTGGTCGTGGCATTTTTTGGGGATTTTGGAGTGTAGATATTTATATTTAAGAATATATAGATTCGGGTTTGAGATAGAGAGCAACCATCGACCATAATTCTCGCATGGGAGACATTACGAATCTCGTTGTAGTTTTACTTGTCTTATCAATTTTGCATGAATTACTATATGTTGAACTCATACTAACACGTACTCGGCTTTATCTGGAATCTCATTAAATCGACCTTTTCCTGGTGGAATTTTCTTCTCATACTATTTTCTTGTTTAACATGCGGAAACCAACTAATACTTTGGTAAAAGAAATACATTAAAAACCAGCTTATAATTAGTATTCACTCCAATAAAAAAGAGTTTTCTAAAATATTTAAATGGACACATACATAGCCCTATTCGGAAAGAAAAAAAACAAGTGCAGATATACAATTCTTAACTTTCATAAATGTAATTCTAATTTATATGGTAGATTTTAAAAGTTAAATTGGATCTGATATACAACTCTTAGCATATGTTAGATAGATATATAGATAGATAGATACACTATCTTTATTAAAAAAGAATGCAATTTTAGCAATGCACGTGGACAAAGATATGTCCAAGTTCATAGCTAGAATTATATTCTTTTTCGCATGGCAGTAATATATAAACATATAAATAGATGGATAGAGAGATAGATAGTTGAAATTGTTTTTTTTCTAGGGAGGGGGGATGGAGGCACTAGTAGATAGATAGATACATTAATTCCAAGATACTATTGAATTTTAATTCCTAATATACATTTTTTGAAGGGAAAAAAAGAAGTTTGAAAATGTGACACGCCCAAATGTTTGTTTGGGTAGTTCTTTATTTAGGTAGTAGCACAGCTTAAGAGGCACATGTGTCCCAAATTGCGAATCTTTGCAGCCCAGTAATAGGGGGGCTCACCTAAATTAACCCCCCAACTCGCCTCTTAATCCTGCACGCGCCGCGCCCGCGCCTTCTTCTTCCTCTCCCGCGCTTTCTCTTCCCGCCATCTCCCTATAAATGGCGCCCTTCCTCTTCCTCCGCCCAACCCCTCAAGCAGCCAAGGCGCCTCCCTTCCTAATCCTACCTCGATCGCCTCCTCCCTCTCGACTCGATCGCCATGGTTGTCAACAACAAGGTGGACAGCCTCTCCTACGACGTCGAGGCGCCACCGGCGCAGGCGCCGACGACCCCGGCGGTGGTCTCCGCGCCGCCGACGCCGCGGGGCGAGGCGCCGGCGATGACGACGACGGCGGCGGCGGAGCTGCACAAGGTGTCGGTGCCGGAGAGGAGGTCGACGGCGAAGGCGCTGAGGCAGCGGCTGGCGGAGGTGTTCTTCCCCGACGACCCGCTCCACCAGTTCAAGAACCAGTCGTCCGCGCGGCGGCTGGTGCTCGCGCTGCAGTACTTCTTCCCCATCTTCCATTGGGGCTCCGACTACAGCCTCCGCCTCCTCCGCTCCGACGTCGTCTCCGGCCTCACCATTGCCAGCCTCGCCATCCCGCAGGCACGCACGCAACCTGATCACACATACACGCCATTGTTTTGCCTCCTGAAATTCTCCATTCCCAATTCCAATTCGAATTCCGATTTCTTTGCAGGGAATCAGCTACGCCAAGCTCGCCAACCTGCCTCCAATCATTGGACTATGTAAGTAAAAGATGAACCAAAATGACCGGCCATTATGTCAATTCGATGTGATGAATAACACATATGATGTATGCAGATTCGAGCTTCGTGCCGCCGCTGATCTACTCGTTGTTGGGTAGCTCGCGGGATCTGGCTGTAGGGCCGGTGTCGATAGCGTCGCTGGTGATGGGGTCGATGCTCCGGCAGGCGGTGTCGCCGGACCAGGAGCCCATCCTCTACCTCCAGCTCGCCTTCACCTCCACCTTCTTCGCCGGCGTCTTCCAAGCCTCCCTCGGCTTCCTCCGGTATTCGATCACTTCACATCCATCATCTACTGTTCCATTGACGATGGATCGATGGATCGATCACCTCATGCCTAGCTAACTGATGGAGTATATCGTGTTCTTGGTTTTAGGCTGGGGTTCATCGTGGATTTCTTGTCGAAGGCGACGCTGACGGGATTCATGGGCGGCGCGGCGATCATCGTGTCGCTGCAGCAGCTCAAGGGATTGCTCGGGATCATCCATTTCACGTCGCAGATGGGGTTCGTCCAGGTGATGCACTCCGTCTTCAAGCACCACGACGAGTGGGCGTGGCAGACCATCCTCATGGGCGTCGCCTTCCTCGCCGTCCTCCTCACCACACGCCACATCGTAAGCTAATAGCTACCACACCTTCCTAGTAGCGTATCACCTGCAGAGATGATGCATGCTCTCTTGATTGATTAGTTAATTATTGCCTGTTCTTCGCTAATCGCGTGGTGATTAGAAGGTAATCAGGGGGTTAATTGCTATTACTATTTATAGAAAGTTCCGCAGAAATGGCTAGGCGCCAAAATAGTAAGGGAACCACAATTAATAGCCACACGTATGAAATGCGTGGGGATCAGGGATGCAAGCATGTCGACCCATGAACCTGCGTACAGGTTATTTAAATGTTGCGCCTAATAGAACAATCTAGATATTTAGTGATTCACAAGTAAAGTGATTTTATAGTTCTTAAGAAGGTATTAGAAGATACCATATTTTTTAATGTAAAATTTGATACATCTTGATATCTTCGATACTAATAGATACCAAAATTTACACTAAAATAATCGATACCTCTTGGTATCTCTCAAGGATCGTAAAAGCTGGCCTGCCTTGCCTGTATAAGTAAAAATGTAATGAGACCTGCCGTTGTAAATTCTGAGACAATGGAAGAGTACAGAACACTTTCGGCTAGGGGCAGTTATGAGCAGGACTAAATGGTTATTGTTAGTTAATTAGTCGGCAAAATTCTTTATAATTATTTGACCATGGTTAAAGACAGGTAACTTATCTATAGCTAGGAAAGATAGTATGGCAAAAAGGAAAGGTGGTGATTAAAACCATTACAAAGTGAGCTTCATGGAGGGGCCCAAAGGGTGCTTGCCACTAACAAGGAATTTGACTCCACTCAGTTAAACTAATGGCCAATAGTTAATGGAAGGTGAAGTTAAGCTACCTCCAGCTTATAGGGATCTCATAATGATGGGATATTTTGATTTTTCCTAAAGGAATTCCATTCACATAATTGATTGTCGCGAAATTCGAATATCTTACTTTAGTAGTTGGGTGGTTTTCTTAATTAGGGGATCACATAAAAGTTCCTCAATTTTTTCAAACTGTTTAAACTTATTTAAGCTAGTATAGTACTACTTTAGGGTAATCTAAAAACTTCTTTAGACTTGCTTAATAAACAGTTGCTATGCCAAGAAAAAGTCATGTCTTATGCCTAATCTTCCAAGATATCTGAACGTTGGACTAACACATGGTGTCTAAAAAGTTAGTGTTGGCGTGTGACCAGAAGTATTTAAGGTTGTTAATTGCATAATTGTGAAAGGAGTTTATAATAATATTTACTCCCCTTACACTTGCAGAAAAGCACTAATTCTTTTAGTAATTAATTAATCGATCATGTGTACAAAAACATATGTCATGAAGCACTCTAACTAGTATGATGAGCAGTTCTAGTTTGGATGATCTCACAAACTAAACAAAAACAAAGAATGTTTATATCTTGCATTAGTCTTAATACGATTAGACCATATACATCAATTAAAGCAAGGCGTGTGTGTGGCTTTAGAATATATTCTAATAAAGCCATTTTCAATTGGAACATTTCTCTTTTCCCTTTTGGGAAGAATGGATCTGGTTTGGCCACTCTGACGTGTCACCTGTTAAGCTGGTTGTTCACATGCTCATCTCTCTGAATTTCGGTGTCTTTTCAGTCTAAACAGAATGATCTGATAAACACATCCATTAGACTGTTAATGGTTTTCCTCTGAGAAAAGTAAGTCATCTGCTTTGTAATGACGCTGTTCCTCACCTGGAATGATTAAAAAGTGTCAATTAATGCGACAATTCCACGGTCATGGGACCATCTCAGAACAATTCTTCAGAAGATGTGAGGAGATGGGGCCTGCCAAATTAATAGGTTTTAACCAGAACTTCTTTTCATTTGTGATTCAAGATCTACTGAACTCTTTTTATAAAAATTAAAAAAAAATATGTACTGAATTCATTATGTGAACCGCTGTTGTGGTTGCCAATAATTTTTTTACCTTCTGATTCTTCAGTTCGCTGTATACAATTTTCTCTGACTTTGATGCGAGTATGCAGCCGGTAACAATTTTCACTGTATTTTTGCAGAGCGCCAGGAACCCAAAGCTTTTCTGGGTGTCAGCAGCTGCTCCACTGACATCAGTGATCATCTCTACCATCATCTCGTTCGTCAGCAAAGCTCATGGCATCAGTGTTGTGAGTAGCTTCTCTAAACCATTTCTGAATCTTTCATGGACAGCTTCACATCGAGAACATGAAAGAAACGTCATTAGTCACACTAATTCATCTTTTTTTGGGTGGTGTTTGGACAGATTGGCGATCTCCCCAAGGGATTGAACCCTCCTTCAGCGAATATGCTGACCTTCAGTGGCTCCTACGTAGGACTGGCCTTAAACACAGGAATTATGACTGGCATACTATCTCTCACTGTAAGGCACCTACATAAAAAACACATTTTATTTACTATCTGAACTATTTTAGTATGGTGATGTTTAGTCTGAACATGAAAGGAAAAATGACTGAATTTGCAGGAAGGGATAGCAGTAGGCAGGACATTTGCATCCATCAACAACTACCAGGTTGATGGAAACAAGGAGATGATGGCCATTGGTGTCATGAACATGGCTGGCTCATGTGCCTCCTGCTATGTCACCACAGGTTGGTTTGTCAGTTGCACCATAGCTTCTGAACGTATTAAGTACTTGTCGTTTTAGATAAAATTAGATCAAACCTTTAAAATTCTGACCATCAGTAATTTCTTAAATGCATAGTTCAAAACCAAAACAAACGATATAGTATATAGATTTGCCTCGAAAAGTAATTATCATAGTATTATAAAATGTTTATATTTTATAAATTTACTCTAACATAAAATTAGCTGTCAAAATTTCAAAAGTTTGACCAAATCTTATACGATAAGTATCTTTTGACCGGAGGTACTCTAACTTGTTCAAGTTTGTTTAAGTTTACAGAAAATTTTAACAATATTTTTAATATAAAATAAATATGTTATCAAAATATATTCAACGTTACATTCAATGAAACTAATTAATTCAATATTATAGAAAAAGATTGACTAAAAAAAATCAAAACGACTTATAATATGAACGGAATGAGGGAGTAATATTCATATTTAGATAATGGAAATGGATTATATCTCCGGCTTCTGTCATGAGATGCACAACAAAAAAAAAGACAAAGATAAAAATAAATCAAAATGAGAAATAAAATGATGTGAGTAATATTCATAGAAGCTAGATGAGGATCGCAATGGCTCACCATTGGCAAAAAAAACTCTGAATGAATGGACGCAGGATCGTTCTCGAGGTCGGCGGTGAACTACAGCGCGGGGTGCAAGACGGCGGTGTCGAACATCGTGATGGCGTCGGCGGTGCTGGTGACGCTGCTGTTCCTGATGCCGCTGTTCCACTACACCCCCAACGTGATCCTCTCGGCGATCATCATCACCGCCGTGATCGGCCTCATCGACGTCCGGGGCGCCGCCAGGCTGTGGAAGGTCGACAAGCTCGACTTCCTCGCCTGCATGGCCGCCTTCCTCGGCGTCCTCCTCGTCTCCGTCCAGATGGGCCTCGCCATCGCCGTCGGCATCTCCCTCTTCAAGATCCTCCTCCAGGTCACCCGCCCAAACATGGTGGTCAAGGGCGTCGTCCCCGGCACGGCGAGCTACCGGAGCATGGCGCAGTACAGGGAGGCCATGCGTGTGCCGTCCTTCCTCGTCGTCGGCGTCGAGTCCGCCATCTACTTCGCCAACTCCATGTACCTCGGCGAGAGGATCATGAGGTTTCTCCGGGAGGAAGACGAGCGGGCCGCCAAGTGCAACCAGTGCCCTGTCAGATGCATCATCCTCGACATGAGTGGTAATAAGCTCTTGCATGCTACTACTCCTGTACAGAATTCATACTCAGTTAAAAAAATGCTGAAAAGAGTGGTTAATTATTCAGTAAATTAAAACTGACATGGATCGATGAGCTAATTATTCATTCAGTACAACGTTCTCAGAAAGATTGTAGTACAATCTTGATCAGTAAAAAGATTCTCAGTAAAAAGAGTTGTTAATTATTCAGTAAAAACTCACATGGATCGATGAGCTAACTGTTCAGTAAAAAGAGCAGCTAATTATTCAGTATAACATTCTCAGAATAATAGTACTATCTTGTGATCAGTACAAACTGACAGAGAATTCGATGAACTTGCAGCTGTTGCAGCGATCGACACGAGTGGCCTCGATGCACTTGCAGAGCTGAAGAAGGTGCTGGAAAAAAGAAACATCGAGGTAATAGAACTTCTGAAACATCTATCTACCAATGTTCTTCTTGTCAGTTTCAGTGATTTACTATCAGATAATATTCAGATTTGTCAGTGACAGTGAATAGTAACATGAGCTAATTTCTGACGGATTTCTGCAGCTTGTGCTGGCCAACCCGGTTGGATCGGTGACCGAGAGGCTGTACAACTCGGTGGTCGGCAAGACGTTCGGCTCAGACCGCGTGTTCTTCAGCGTCGCCGAGGCCGTCGCGGCGGCGCCGCACAAAACACAGCCCTGACAAGAGCAGAGATGTGCTTTGCTACCAGTAGATCCAGCAGAAGCAGAAGTACTCTCTGACCAGCAGAAGCACAGTAGAACAAGGTGCTTCTCGGAGGAGGCTAATTAAAATTAAGAATCTTAAGATAGAAGCGTAGAACAAGAAGAAGAAGAAGAAGAAGAAGAAGAAGAAGAAGAAGAAGAAGAAGAAGAAGGTGGTAAAAAACAAGTCTATGGGCTGTTAATTTGTTCGCGTGTTGTGTTTAATTAGGGGGGATTATGGTAGTGCAGATGGGAAATAACTCCGGGTGCTGATCTCTTCTGATCGAGTTGGAAGAGTTTTTGAAGCATGTAACCAGAATGCGTGGCGTGTATGGTGTAGCTTGTGATTTGGTAGTTGTTGCAAAGTAATCCTTAATGGAATCGGGTTTTGATCTAAGCCCACTCAATTGATTATTTAGGTTGTGTCCAAAACTACAGAAGTTCAGATGTCACCTTGTCTGAAATTTTGTCCCTATGATATTCACAAGCTATCATCCTTTTTTCTTCTCTGAAATGAATGGCGTAGAGCTCATTCCATCTGCTTAAAAAAGAAAGAAAGATAAGAGAATTTCACAAGGATAATATCATAATAATGCAGAACAAGAGGAAAAAAGGATTACATTATATTGTATCAGAACTCAGAAGATAAGAACAAGATCACTTTTCATCCAAAGAAAAGAAAGAACATTATCTCTTCAGAAAAAAATGTTTCTCACGAGTCGCACAGGGCAGAGTGGGTACTGATGGGCCGGCTAACATCTCTTTCACACAATGTGCTTAATTAGATACCCCTTCGTAAAAAAAAAAATCAAATCCTAGCTATGAACCTGGATAGCATTTGTCAGATTCATAGCTAGAATTTATTTTTTTAAAAAAAATACTATCCAGGTTTATAGCTAAGGATTTAATTATTTTTTTATGGAGGGAGTAAATACCATGCCAACGGCATGACAAAGGACTTGGCTGTCTAGCAGCTATCATTGCTGCTTTCAGCTTGCACTTTTAAAAGAAGGGAATATATGTGATCTCCCAATCTCCCTTCATCATCGTTCTTTTGACGAGCCTCGTTGTCACAAGGCTCTCGTAATCGTCATACTTTCTCCCTTGAAGAAATATTCTCTAGTTTCATAGAATATATGTTAATTTTCTCTCATAACTGTCGCTATGCTAACCGTACTACTAAAATGAGTACCTTTACATACAGTACAGTGACTTCTATTGACAGTGTTCTACTACCAATATTATGACTAATAGAAATGATCTATTGATTTATGAGTTCTACTAGTAGTAGAAAATTAATTTTACTAATTGTTGAGATAGTATAAACTAGCATAGTGGTCCGCGCAAATTGCGCGGCTAGTATCATTATATTTTCTCTCATATAATAGCATATATGTTTTCTCAATGTATTATTCAAATATATTAAAATGACAACATAATTTTAAATTTTGTACTAACTTTACGAAACTATTAATGTGTAATATTCATATTTTATTTTATATGCGTGTTAGTTATTAATTATTTTTAATATCAAATTTTAATTATTTGTAAATTATATTCCTATATAGACTCTAGACTTGTCTTTCAATATTTCTTTTTTTAATTCCGAATTTTCGTTATCTGTAAATTGTATTTCTATATAGACTCTAGGCTCTTCTTCCAATATTATTTATTTTTAATTCTGAATTTCTATTTTTTCTAATTCTATTTGTATGTGGACTCTAAACTCATCTTTCAATATTTTTAAATTTTTAACTTCGAATTTCAGTTAATTCTAAATTGTATTCCTATATTGACTTTAGACTCTTTTTCCCATGTTTTTTTTAATTTTGAATTTTAGTTATTCGTAAATTATATTTTTATACGGACTCTAAACTCTTCTTTTAATTTTATTATGTGTATTCTGAAATTTAGTTAGTTTTAAATTCCTATATGGACTATATACTCTACTTCTAATATTCCTTATTTTTAATTCCGAATTTCTATTATTTCTTAATTGTATTTCTATATAGACTCTATACTCTACTTCTAATATTCCTTATTTATTAATTCCGAATTTCTATTATTTCTTAATTGTATATCTATATGAACTCTATACTCTTCTTCTAATATTCTTTATTTTTTATTTCCGATTTTCAGTTTTTTATAAATTGTATTTCTATATGGACTCTAGTCTTCTCTTCCAATATTCTTTATTTTTTAATTCCGAATTTCAGTTATTTATAAATTGTATTTCTATATGGACTTGTCTCCTCTTCCAATATTCCTTATTTTTTAATTCCGAATTTCAACTATTTCTAAATTGTATTTCTATATGGACTCTGTTTTTCTTTTTCTCCGATTAATCTGAGAATTTATAGACCGTGAGAGCGAACGTACATGCTCCTTTTTATATTCCTTTAATAAGTTAATAGATAGTATGAGTCAATAGATTGAAAAATATGAATGGCCTATATTGATTCTATTACCAATAGAGACCATTATAAAATACCTCATGGACCATTTAATATGTGCAATATATAGATGGCAAATGTAGCTTAAATTTTTGAATCTCGTAACTCCCGTCTACTTGAAACTTGCTTGCAAGATACTCCCTCTGCTTTCAAATATACAAAACTTGTTTTACTTGTGATCACTAATTACTCTTAAATAATTAGACTATAAATAACGAAAGTCTCATACGTACGTCTACAACGTTATACACTTAAACAATATGGTATTTTTTAAGTATTTATAAATAATCTTTTAGAAGTATGAAAATAAATATTTTTTTTATGTGTGTATTTTAAAACAAAGCGAGTGTACCTTTTGAATTTAAGTTTTGATGGTACACAAGACGTCGATCTTAAGATATATCAACCCGGTCTTATAGAGAGAGACTCACAGAAATAAGATGTGTGTTTATAAGGATAAGTGTGTGCGTGTTGCGAATGTCTGTGTTTGTACTGTGTTTCTTTTAAAAAATACGTGCTTGTGCATGAACTATTTCATTTTGCATTCCTGCATACCATCCATCCATCCGTAGATCAAGGGACGGACGGCTGCGATACGGCTGTTCAGACGGTAGAGTGTACATGTAAGATGTAACCTCGCCCGTTGCCACGGTCGCACGGCCACGACTCCATCTCTCCTCCATCGGTTACCTCTCTCTCTCTCTCTCTCTCTCCTCTTCTCGTCGCCCTAATCCCCAATCCAAAACGAATCCCCAATCTCGTCCGCGCCGCCGCTCGCCGTGGCCTCCCCCGTGCGCCGCCCGCCGCTTCGCATCCCGGTGAGAAGAAAAGAGGTAAAGCTTTCGGTTCCACGGCGAAAGTTTGGATCTTTGATGCACAAAAAGAAGCATCTTTTCCTGCTTTAATCTCCCTTGTTCTTGAGCTACAAGAGATCCTCTCCCCGTTAGAAAATCTTGATCTTTTCTAAGAACCGTGAAATACTGATTCTTGGAGATGATCAATGGTAAATTAGTGCAGAGATTAAAACTAGGTTTAGGAGACCCCCTCCCCGGATTGATTGATTGATTGATTGATGGAATGATGTCGTGTGATGTTAATTTCAGAGGAGGGGAAATGGAGATACAGTCATCAGGGAGGCCAATCGATGTGCTCATGGAGAAGGTTTTGTCAGTGAACATCCTCTCCTCGGACTACTTCAAGGAGCTCTACAGGCTGAAGACTTACCACGAGGTCATTGATGAGATCTACAATCAGGTTGACCACGTAGAGCCATGGATGACCGGCAACTGCCGCGGGCCCTCCAGCGCCTTCTGCCTCCTCTACAAGTTCTTCACCATGAAGCTCACGGTTAAGCAGATGCACGGCCTGCTGAAGCACCCTGACTCGCCTTACATCAGAGCTGTAAGCCTGTTGTTTTCTACTCTTCCGGTTCCCGCAATGTTAATTTATGGTTCTGTTTGTTAGGATGGTTTGTTACGTGCAGAATGCAATGTAGAGGATTTACTGAATATTGTAGATTTTGCTAAATCGCTGCACTATGTGTGTCTGTTGAGTGTTGATAGTGTGATTGAAAATGAGCCTTGGTGCTACTATTAGGTAAATTTTCCACCAGTAAATGAAGGATATATAGAAACCTATGTTAATGTGTCTTGAGATAAATCTGCACCTAAACCAGTAAATGAAGCATCATGATTTTTTACTGTGTCAAACAATTGAGTTTTCGCTCTCAGACAGTAATTAGCGTTTATATTTCAGGTTGGATTTCTTTACCTGCGATATGTTGCGGAACCAAAGACGTTGTGGAGTTGGTATGAACCCTACATTAAAGATGATGAGGTATTATCTTTTTTGGTAGCTTTCTTTGTATTTTGCATCATTTTGACGATTAGTTGAAGCTGTAAAAGGATAAATCTATAGTTTTCCTTCGTATATCCTATTTTGTACTTTGAAGTATTCAGCAAACTTTAGTACTGCTCCCTATAAATGGTACGTGGTATGCTAAATTTGTATAAGATGCCTACTGTTTGTCAAGGACAATGCTTGTACAAACCAGAAAAAAAATATTGAAAACATGAAAGCGTAAACTCCAGAAAGAAAGGAAAAAGTGAAATACATCACTATTCCTGCACTAGACTACTAATAATGGTTGCTTCTTAGCATAAACATGTTATGTGCATGAAATGTGAACTGAGCGCTGAGCCATCTGGATCTATTTTTAATATGTTAAATTGTTACTTTTTTGTGTGCCTTTGTCAGTTGTAAATATATGTTCTGTGTTTTTATTAAAGTTCAATCCCTGCATAACGTACCTATGAAAACTGTGCCTTTCTTCTTGCTCAGGAGTTTTCTCCTGGATCTAATGGTAAAATGACTACTATGGGTGTTTATGTGCGAGATCTTCTACTTGGGCAGGTATATCTTGTGAACTTCATTTCATTTCTGCCTTTAAATAGAACAGTATTGTAAAGTTCCTGTTACAGTGTCCTTTAGTTACCCAAGCACATCCGTGGGCATACATCATTGACATAGTATTTTCTGAACATAAATGCAATTAGTGTTTGTTGAATCACTCACCTGTTGGTTTGGCATACTGAGCGGAAATTTCAATTGTGGAGTTGCTTTAAGAGGAGACATCATCTCTTCCACCAGTAACCACTTTGTATAAGGTTTGTCATGATGTGTTACTCAAATGTTTATTTTCCATTTTTCTGCTAGAGTTTCCTATGTTTCATCTAGTTAAGGATTTATAACAAAAGAAAATGATGTATGCTATGGTGCTATCTTTTTTAGTTTTGAGATGTTTTTTTCTGTTTAAATTTGTTGAGGACTACGTCTCATATTTGTTTCTTCTTTGGCAAGAGATATTCTGTCTATGCTTGATATTTTGGAATAGCTAATCTAGAAAATCAACTTTCCTTTCAAAAATGAAAACGAAGTTCAGTGTGTAATAATCATGTAATAATTGAAAGTTACTTATAATTTTTTTAGGTTCATAGTGAACAGAAACGGGTGAGCAATACCCCAACTTTTAGTAAATAGTGAACTACGAAAGTGCTTTTTTGATTTTTCCTTTTACTGGTCGGCCTCATAATTATTGCCAGTCAGGGCTTCTATGATATTGTAGTTATTTCGTAGATTTCATTTTCCATGCAAGTTAGCAGAGAACAAATAGCAAATTGTGATGAATGTTTCATGGGTGAGTTGAAGCAGTGTTTACAGTTGGCCGGAGACAATCACAAAACAACTGAGTAGTTTTTTAATGCAGTTTTTTAAATTCCAATTTATTTTCTACTATCGCAGTTTGTCTTCACATCTGATGTTAGAGGCTTAGAGCCGCATGTTACTGAGAGCCCCACACCACGTCTATCTACTTCATGCCAAGACAGCATATTAACCTCACAACTATATTTGCTTCATTCCATTTTGGTTGATCATTTTGATGTTATTGTTCAGTGTTTCTTTTTTGAGCTATTGTTCTGGTAGATTTAGTTGAGAAATACCATTGAGACATGATATTAAAAACTTGGTGTCCATGCCTGTTTTTCCTTTGCAGTACTACTTTGACAGTCTTCTTCCACGAGTGCCTCTTCCGATCTTGAGACAGGTCACTGGCCATCTTGAGAAGATGAAGCTCCCAACAAAGCAGTCAGGAATAACAGGGGACTCTAGTCGCCTTGGTTCAGATGATACTGCCCGACGGCCTCCTTCAGTAAAGGCTTCTCTGTCGGTCTCCTTTGGTCAGCGTGCTCCACACCGTGCATCCACAAGGGACTCATCCCCTGTCCGGAAGACATTGCCTTCAGCAAGGGATAGAGAAAGGAGTTCTGATGGTGAGTGTGCAAGATCTTCACCCAGGAGGCGACGAAGTCGGAGCCATGAACGTGATCATGATTCTGAGCGTGATCGTTCGGATCGTGACCGTGGTAGGCACAAGGATAGGGAGCATGATCGCCATGCCCGTGAGGACAGAGACCGTGATTACCGTCGTTCAAGCTATTCAAGTAGGAATGTTGACAGACAAGGCCGTGAAAGGAGGGACAGGGATTCTGATCGACATGGACGTTCGAGTGCCCGCAGGAGCAGGAGCAGGAGTCCAAACCGTGGCAGAACCGAAGGTGAAAATCACCGCTCTAGCCCATTTGGTAGACCACCAGAGCCATCCAACTTGGCAAAATTGAAGGATTTATATGGTGACGCGACAAACACAAAGGATGATACAGGTGATGATAAAGCTCGCAGGGATTCTGGAACTGAAGAGGTAATCAGATTGGGAGGTGCAAGGTGGAGGTGAATGCCAAAGGGCACATGAAAGACATCCACCCCTATTTGTTCTTGTTAACAGCAATATAACAGCCAGAGATATTTGCTATCCCCAGTGCTGCATTCCCAGGGACACTCAGAAGAAGGAATGAGCTTTCATTTGTTAAAATTCGATTGGGCCATTGTATCTTAGGTAGCATGTGCGCAACAGAATGCATTTGTTGAAACTCAATTGGGCCAATGTATCTTAGGTAGCATGTGCGCAACACAATACAATCTGTTAAGCAGGCAAACAGCTATGCAAATTGCTAGTACTAGGATAAAGAGATTAATTTGGATAGCCAAGTTCTGTACCTGGTATGCTGTTCGCGTTATATGATACTTTTCCCGTGTTCTGACATATGCTATCCTTCGTTGCACACTTGCACGTATGCTTTATTTGGGGAAGGTGTACTCAAATGCTTTACAAATGATTATGTGGTATGCTTGAATCGAACCTTGATTCATCCTAAGTTCCAACTGGATACATCCAATATGTGGGAATCTTGTTTATAGTTGTTTGCAAACATATTTCGGTGTGTATGATCTTATACATTTACCGGTGAACAGTAGGGGAGGTCCCTATGTAATATATTTACAAAAAAGAATAAAAAAAGAGCATTTACAGGGGGGAGGGAGGACGAAGGATTGAAAACCTGCAATGAAGCGGCCAGATGATCGGAAACTGTCTTGGCATTTTCAAGGTGATTCGTGATTTGCCCACACCATTTACTGAAAACTTTCACGTCTCCATGCTGACCAAACCCTACAAGTACAACCTGATGGCGGAGTTCACCATTAACATTCCTGAACAGTGAAAAAAAATTGAATTTATAAGGACACTGCCATACTATTCACAGTTGACCGCTAAACTTTTGAGAACAGATATCAGATTGCCAGTTCATCCCAAATCTACCCATCTATAATAGTGTTTCTTATGCTTTTATCTAAACTCTAATCGATAGAGACACGATTTAGCTTGATGCTTACCTGATACATACCAGTCAACCTTGATTGTAGAGTAGTCTACTTGCAAACTGTGAGCAGATGTATTCAGATTTTAGAAGCTCCGTTGCAGAATAGGCAACCATGGAACAGGCATGACAACTACATGCCTCAGTTTGTTTGATGCCATTTTGCTGCTGTCGAAGTCCTAAGTTGGAATATGCAACCTGGGTTGTAGTCGACAGATGCATTTCATTCATCTTTCATGCTTGTTCTATTCTATCCCTCATAAATAAACCTGGGTCAACCAGCTCATAAACAATCTGAATGACACTGTAAACAAATTTATCATCTCATTAGAACAATATCAAAGTTATCAAAGCCTCAACCAAAGGATCCATCTACTTTGTGAGATTTTTTACCTGCTTGTTGGAAGTTTTCTGCATAAATGATCAAATCCCATTGCTGTAGTACACATCTGCAAATCAAAATGGGATGCTAAATCCAGCTATAGCCAACATCCTTTTCAGTGGCAGTGCTTTTAATTTGACTTCTCAAACTATCAATCACAGTCGATTTATTGGTTAATCCATGCACACTGATGAGATGCAGATAAGGCATTTTAGTACAAGGATCAATGGCAATTAATTGACTCGCCGCATGCTCTGCTAACTTATCATTGCCAGTCAATCTGCAACCGCTCAATAGAGAAGTCCATATTGCTGAATCAGGTTCAAATGGCATCGACTTCACTAATCCTTCAGCCTCCTTAATCATGCATTTTCTACAAAAGAGATCAACCATGCAAGCATAGTGCATAATATTAGGTAAAATTCCATAAGTACATGTCATCGCATTGAAGAAATATTTAGCTTCCTCCAAAAGGCTCATGTGATTACATGCGGAAAGTACACCAAGAAATGTGATGTCATCAGGATCAACTTGTGCCTTTGTCATACTCTCAAACATTTCAACAGCATTTTGACCAAGATTATTGAGTGCATATCCATGAATGATCGTGTTCCATGTTACTTTATCTCTCTTAGCCATCAGGTCAAAAATACTTTGAGCTATAATCATTTCGCCACATTTGCAATACAGGCTAATGAGTGAATTTTGGATTAGCAAGTGGGAATCGAGTCCAATCTTAATGGTTGTAGCATGAAACTGCTGGCCATGAACCATCATAGAATAATTTGACAAACAGCTTATGAGGCTAGAAACAACTGACTCGCTAGGTCGTATATTAGACAGTAGCATCTTTTTGTAGAACTGAAGTGCTTCATGGATTAAACCATTTGTAGCGAGCCCAGCAACTAAACAGCTCCAAGTCACTGAATCACGTGTTGGAGATTCATTAAAGAGCTTATATGCTTCAGTAATTTTACCTTGATGGAACAAACCGGATATCATCACATTATAGGTGACAACAGTCCTTTTTTGCATCATGTGGAAAAGGTCCAGCGCGTCATCCATATGCCCTCCTTTCACATATCCAAACAGCAAAGTTGTGCAAGACATAACATCTATTTGGGGCATATTATAAAACATATCCCGTGCTTTGTCAAGCATTCCATTATCTATAAACCATGACATCAAAGCAGTAGCTGCTTCCAAACTCTTTTCAGTCATCTTTGAGTACAACTCAGTAGCATCAGCAATCCTTCCATCATTTATATAGCCATTAATCATTGAGTTCCATGAGATTTTATCTCGGTTATTCATGGAATCAAAAAGTTTCCGGGCCTCATCTATCTTATCCGAATAAATATAGCCGCATAACATGGCATTCCATGAACCAACATGATTTCCTTCCATTTTATCAAACTCCAGTCGTGCTTCAGTGATGTCCAACGATTTGCAGTACATCAAAACCAAGGAAGCCTCAAGAACAAGGTCGTAAGCAAAACCAGACTTCACAGCCAATCCATGAATGCATCTGCCTCCTCTAATACTTTTCATGCCAGCAAAAGCATTCACTATTTTAACTAGGATCACATTTGTCACTTCCTCCCCATTCATCATCAAGCTATTAAACAATTCAACTGCTTCACTGAATTTCTCATGCGTAACAAAACCTCCAATCATGACGCACCACGACACAGAGTTCTTCACCGGCATCAATTTAAACAGCTGAAACGCCATGTCGACCTCATGCGCTGTAAAGTGCCCTTTTATCATGGCAGTCCAGGACACCACATTACGCACTGGCATCCGATCAAAAGCCTTGCGAGCATAGCCTACACGATGGTTCATCACAAGGCCTGATATAAGCGCGTTCCACAAGGCCACATTTGGACTCTCAACACCATCCAGCACTTGCTCCAGGCAGCTGACCACCCCACAGTTGGCATACATCGTGATAAGCGAAGCACCCACAAACACATTACCAGAGGAGCAGGACTTGAACACAAGCCCATGGACGCACCTCCCCATCTCCAGAGCCTCCAAGCGCGCGCAGGCCGACAACGCGGTGGAGAATGAGGTATGGTCCGGCCGGAACCCCTGGCGCCTCATCTCCAAGAACGCCCCCACGGCCCTCCCGTGCGAGCCCGCCCGCGCCTGCACGGCCATGATGGTGTTCCAGGACACGACGTCCCTCCGCGGCATTCCGTCGAACACCTCCCGCGCGGCCTCCAGCCTGCCGGCTCTCAGGTGCTCCGCCATCAGCCTGTTGTTCCCGGAGACGACCGCGGCGGCGTCCGAGGAGCAGCACGCGCGCTCCAACGCCTCCGCCGCCGCCGCCGCCAGCGCCAGTGCCCGTCGCGCTGCGCAGCGCGACGCGGCCATTCGCCGCTTGCAGCGAGCATTCGGAGGTTCGAACTACGAAGCAGAGAGAGAGCGAGAGAGTGAGAGAGGAATTTTTTTTATTTATACATTTTTTTATTAAAAAATTTACCAAAATAATTTTTTGGGAGTTTAAAAATCGTCCTTCCAGAGTGCGGCACAGGACCTAAATGCAAATTTTCCAGCACAACTTGTTGGCTCTATGATTTTACAATTTAAAATTATATTATATAAAGTCAGATGAAATAAAACTTTATATCAAAATTGTAGAGCTCAAAGAGATCTACAGCTTTGTTATTAACAACTTTTTCATTTAAGATGTTTTAGATATCCAAATATTCGTTACAAAATATAAAACATATTTAAAAAAATCTTAGATCTACATTTCAAACGACATTGGATGGAGATAAACCTTATATGAAAGTTGTAGATCTTGATCAGATCTATAACTTTATAGTTTATCACTTTTCCATTTAAAATCATTTGAAGTATCGAATAAGCATTATTAGTTTTTAAGCAATTAAAACCGGTGGAAACGGTTTGAACACAAATAAAAATTTTGCATTTAGTTCCCTTGCCGCCCTCTGGAAGGATGATTTTAAGATTTGTAAATTTTCGAAACAAAAAATTACTTTTGTAAATATTTTAATAAAAAATGTATAAATAAAAAAAATTCGGGAGAGAGAGATGTCTCGGGCTAGCAGCCCAGGTAAGGCGTTTTCCATGGGCCGGGCTGATGGAGGGTTGGCCTGCAAAGCGATTTCGATTATGTGCGACCCAATAACGGGATTGGGCCTTACGTTCGGCCCATTTTGGATTGTGAATTACATGCGGCTATGTTGGTTGGGCCGTAAGGGGCTTCCAGTTACGTGGGCTCTGACCGGCCTACAGGGTTGAGCCCAATAGATAGGTGGCCGGAGATTATTTGGACTTTTGGAGCCTATTGTTGTATACAGTACATACAGACAGGTGGTACAGTAAATTAAATGCGCCATCTCGTTACAAATTCCATGAATTAAAATGTCCAAAATTTGAAAACTAAGCCAATCTTTGAGATGAATCGCACTGACACCCCACATGCTTGCAAGTATCCGTGATAATAATTTGCTCATAATCTAAATCAAACGGAGCAAGCCTAGCTACTTTCTGAAAGTAATAGCATGATATGATATGCAAAATGCCAAATGGAAGTGCAAATGAAGAGTTGGGGACGCAGCAAACCCCTCTTGGGTCTGGACCTGTGCTGTACTCCCTGTGTACTGTAATCACTAGCTGAAAGCCTGAAACCTCGCTGGAGATGTGCAGAGTTGAGATGCGTAGAGCAGGCATTCGTCAACTGATGGTACTTGAGCTGTAGCATGCAATGCAGCAGCAGCCAGGCAAGAGCTAGGCATGCAATTGATTGATGTCCTGCACCCCTCTTCGCCGGATCGCCATTAACATGGCCGGATCTACACTGGTAGCTATTATCATCCAGCTAGCTACTAGCCGCCATCGTCGGCTGGCCGGTAGGCAACAGCTACACCGAGGAAAGAAAGATACTACTGTACTCGATTTAGTCAATTGTTCAGTTTGATGATCATGCCTGTAATCGTGATTGGTTGAGATGAAAAGGTAGCAGGAGAAATCACTGCATTTTAAGATAAAATTTCGACGAAAATTTTAGATGTTTTAAGATGGAAAGAGTATCTATGATTTTCAGAGACAATTCTTTATTTTTCATCAAAAGTTTTGCATGATTGTCTTATTGGTATATAAGGGTAAGGATAACAAGAGCGAATAAGAAATTGGGTAAAACTTTTCCCCAGCTCATATAAAATTGGGTGAGTATAATAGTTCCTATTTTTTTTCCCAAAAACGTCGCATCGAATCTTTGGACATATGCATAGAGCGTTAAATATAGATAAAATGATAAACTAATTACACAGTTTTCATGAAAATCGCGAGACGAATCTTTTAAGCCTAATTAGTCCATAATTAGCCATAAATGCTACTGTAACCCATACGTGCTAATGACAGATTAATTATGCTTAATAAATTCGTCTCGCGATTTCCATGCGAGTTATGAAATTAGTTTTTTCATTCGTGTCCGAAAACCCCTTCCGACATCTGGTCAAACGTTCGATGTGACGCTCAAAATTTTCTATGTATCACTCGTCCATTCCATTCTTCTTCTTCTTCCAGCGACCTGTTTTGTAACATGGAGGTTGGGTTGTGTGTCAGGCTGTCATGGGGACCCATATGCTTTTATATCCATTTTATATTTCAGGGACAAGTGTCACTACAACTCGCACCAAATTCATGCCGGCGGTTGGGTTGGTTGGTAGGCTGGCTGGCTTGGTTTCCAGCCGCTCACTTAGGTTTTAGGTGGCAGCTGCACAACACGGTCGCAAACCTAACGCCAGCTAGCTCTCTCTGCATTGCCTTTGCATTCATTCATTCAGAGACATTATCTGAATCTGATTCTGCTGCCTATGTAGCTCCTGCCATGGGTCTTTGATTTGTTTACTCCTGTTCGTTATGCTACTTGCAGTTTGTTATGCAATTTCTCTCACGATGAATTGATGATTTGGTCGTCACCGAACGAGTGATGCTCCTGCTTGCAGCATGCAGTTGGTGCCAGAAATTATTTGGAGATCTTCTATTGGAACTTAGAACAGATCAGCCAAATCTGTATACTGACTCCGTTTCAAATTTTATTTAAACACTCAGATTAGCCATTTATTTATTTTGCAACACCTAGTTTTCTACGAAAATATTCAGGTTAAAAAAAAGAGAGGAGAGACAAATTAATCGCCGTTTGTTTGCACGTCGCTCTACGTTCTCCAACCATAGTTGTAATGTAATGTAAGGCAAGGCACTTTACAGTTGCACCTTCCATGCAACCACAAAATACAGCAAAAGAGCAAAGCTCAGAGCTGTCGTGCTAACGACAGATCATCAAGGGTTCTTCCAAGAAAGGCTCTTAAGAGGTTTCCAGCAATCTCCTCTGAACAACAAATAGCCTGTTTCCAGGACGATTCAACAGAATAAGAAAGAAAGCAATCTTTTAAGAAGGCAACTTTTTCAGACAGACAATTCATTCAATTCTTGATGAAGCAGAAGTCATTTCAATTATTGATGAAAACGCAGGAGGTCTGCGATTCATTCATTCAATTAATAAGAAAAAGATGGCAAGAATGTACAAGTTAGGCTGTTACTACAATGGATTGCATCTCCACACACAAACCACCTGGGCTAAATTAGTATTACATCTTATTTATCTATGTCGATTGTAATATCTCTGCTGCTCCGGCCTCAATCCACAGCTTCTTCTTTTCCCTTTTCTTTTAGAAACACAGGTCAAAAACAATCCAGCTTCAGCAATAAGCTTCACACAAACACCTCCATCATCCTGTGTGATAAGCAACTGCGGCCACTCTTGCTCCACAACAAATGAACAATGCAAAGGATTTCAACCCTTTTCATTGGTACCACCAGTCATGCTTATCATCCTGCTAATGTTTCCCAATCAGCTGATTTTATCCCAAACCGCTTAGTCATCTTTCTGAACAAGCTGCCAATAAGAAGCATCTCTCAATCTTCAAATCTGAATGTGTGCTGTGTGCATCACAAAACCCAGGCTCGGCATGCCAAATTTCCCACCAACAATCATTTGTCCTGTGTTGCTAGCCAAGTTAGAATCTGCACTTCTCAAAGAGGTTACTTGCCGGATAAACTACAGAAGCGCTCATGCACTCTCAGCTGGGAAAAAGCCCATGTTCCCCTCGCCCTGAGCTCGCTTCGGTCGCCACTCTGTGTGAGCCTTCACAATGTCTGCTCCGGACTCCAGCTGAAGCAGATGGTCACACTGGATGGAGGATTCTGTGTTGCCATCATCGCATTCACCTGAAACAGCGGTAAGCGACTGAAGCACACTGTCACGGCCACACTCCTTCCTGTAATCCAAGGTCATGCTTGCAAGCTCGTGCTTCTCCAGTATCGAAATTGGAGCACTCTGAGGAAAAAAAAACAAAACGTACTCAGAAATTTGAATAGCTTTTGAATATACAGTGCAAGTGTTTTTACAGCTTGGCATATGACTAGGAACTAGGTTACTAATTACGATCAGACACTCTCTTTTCTGATCTAGAGATAGCATGTTCGGATAGAGAAAAGGAAAAAGAAGTTACCTCAAGTATCCAACCAATATACTTCACATTGTTCACATGCTGGTTGACATCAAGGTCACTCCACTTCGGCTGACATGAACAAAGGATCCCTCATGAGAAATTTTATGCATGAGAACCACCAGCAAAATGAATGACGGTAACAAGCAATATTAACTGACTTACAGTAAGCCCTTTTCTTGTGAATTGTTTGGTAGCAGCGCCATCAAATGTGGTCCCTGGCTTAGGCAACTTTTCACCCTGCTCCTCTGATATAGCAGAACGGCCATTGAAATACGGGCCTATTTCAGCTCTAACTTCATCTGGCATTTTTGAAAGTCTTCTAGTGTTCTTATTCATCATCACCCAAACACTGCAAACAAGAGAGGAACAATTAGCAATCGAAAAGGAATAAAACATGCTGGTAAACAGCATGAAACAAAAGAAATGCAACAAATGCAAACGATAAACACAAACCTTGTAGCCCTCAAGATTGTTTGACCAGAGTTGTAGTCCCGAACATGCCAATCTCGACGCATGCCATTTTTGCCAGCAGCAGCTACCCATGTGTCAACTTGGACCATATCTCCCCTAAAAATTTGCAACCAAAATTTCAGCCTATGAGAAATTGTGTAAACTACATTCAGAATTCAAAAACAGCAGACCGTTTTCCTTCTCATAAACTTAAAATTGCATCAATCGTCAGAAGAACAGGGGAAATTTAATAGCAGGTACTGAAAGTTGCTGACATGGAAGATTAAATGTAGCATGAGATCAAAACTCGATCTAGATCAGGGATGTCCCCTAGGTCCACAGAATTTATTGCTTACTACTAATTCAATTACTCCATCAATAAAGGCAACTTTTCTGATCTCTTGAGGTGTACTCTATATGTAGGCAAATACTAGCCATTTTTTGTTACTTTATTTATTCACAAAATTTGTCCTTATCACGTTTCACAATGAAGAATTTTCCATTTGTGTTTATTAATTTCCCTTTCCATCCACCACAGATTTGGTGGACCCAAAATATATTTGTTAGTTATTAAGGGGTCACATGGTAATGCCCTGTAAAATCAAATGATTTTCTAAACATGCCTGCCATGGTGAAAAGTGAGAAGTAACATGAACAGGGGTGCAACAATTTGTACGAAAGGAGACACAGGGCAGATACCACTTAATAGAGCAGTTCTAGTTCATCAATACATTGTCTTGTCAAATAAACAAACGTTTTCCTCAGTAAATGATTTCAAAAGATCTATCACTCATCTTATCATACAAGGCAATACATGTTATTGTTATGCTTTTGAGTGTAATACTCCATTTCAAGGCACTATGCCTGCTAAAGGTTGTGGGCCATGAACCTACGAGAAGTTCAAAGCACAGGAAAAATAGGCAAAAATATTGCTTATATCTGCAGAACAATAGAAGCAGCAACTTAGTAGGGAAAGGTTTTCATGTAGGGTGATAAACACTCGAACATGTGCCTCATGTCGCATAAGGAATGCAAGAATCTACGTCTACTCAGAGTCTCGATGATCCATCGAATGCCACAGCACACAAACATAGGGAAAAAGGAAAAAAGGACTGAAGACAAGTTTAGCTAAAAACATTACACCGTGGATATTGAGTTTAGCTAAAAACATTACACCGTGGATATTGAGTGATAAATCTTTCCCGTACCATGTAAACATTAAATTGTGACACTAAATGCACCGGGGACAAAAGTACTCCATTAAGAATGAAAGAAATGTTATGAATTAAGAGTAAAAAGAGAAGTTTTGCCATCCAAGAAAATGATGTGGAGAGTAGTGGATTGCAGAAAAAGTACCATGATGGGTATCGCTCAACAAGAAGCTGAATTTTGCTGACAACCCATATTAAGTTCCGTTTGCTCATCTCCGGCGTAGCACCAAAACCATCACCTAAGAGACCAGCAGTTTTCACATGGTTCAGAGCTGTTTCCTGCAAAGCTTCAAATTACAGTTAGTATGCCACGAACATAATGTACCAATAGTGAAAAATACGGAAGAAAAGCTAAAGCAGCATAGCTCCATTGTATCACCTGTAAATGATTCATTAATGTCTCAATAGAAGCTGTACGATCAGCACCAATCTCGTAGGACCGAATCAAGAAGTTTTGCCTAAACACCAGCCCGTCTTGGATGATCCTACCAAAGCCGAATGTGTCAGCCAGCATGTCAGGCTTCTTCGGCTTCCAGTCAAGCAGAGTCCACTGCTTCTCAGCTGCCAGGAAAATGGTCGTGACAGCTGCAAGAAGCATGCTCCAGTCTGGCAATTGGTTATAGAATGTCTTCGGAGCAGTGTACGGTATTATATCCTCCTTGTCTGGGCTTGTAGTCTTCAGGTTAACCTTGGTTCCATTAACCTTAGGAAGGGCTTGCGCCTGCGCCTTGACTTGCATGGCCCCTGGAGACGGATTAGGCTTCGCGACGATTCCGCGGACACTCAAATTCTCTGGCAATTCACCGGTTGTGTTCTTAGAGCTTCTAGCCGAAGCTGCAGGGGAAGACCCTGGGACAGGGAAGAATGCAGACGCCGCAAGAGAACCAGCCATGACTGATTTGCGTCTCAGGGTCCAAATTTGCTCCAAGTTACACACTAGAAGGGGCAACCTGAACAATTAATCAACAAAATTATGAGTTTCATGAGGTGGTATATTCAGAAACGCAATATAATGTGTCCTATAGTCATATGGCATCAATTAACATTGTCTAAAAAACATGGCATCAATTTAAAACTACTAGCATGCTTGAAAATTCCGGATTTTTCTTGCAGAATCTAACTAATTACAGAACGACGCAAGTGTGATTTTGCATATGTGAGGTAGAGAATACGAGTTAACAATCAGAAATATATGGAGACTAGGAAAACAAGAACTTGAAATGAAAACACGGGATCCAGCTGCTAAAAGCGGTCTCCCCTGGGGCAAAAAGAGTCCACGGAAATTTTAAAACATCCGAGAACATTTGATTCAATTTGGCAAAGGGAGGCAACCCTCCAATCAAACAAAATATTCTGCTTCCGGTAGGAGAAAATACTGGGACAGTAAATGCCTCCAAAGCTAAGAAAAAAATTCAGCCCTTCTTCTCTTGTTCATATCAAGAAATGCTAAAAAAAAAGGCGCAGCAAACAGGAATCCCAAAATAACTCTAATATTTCATTTATTTCAATCGAATCACGCCCCAAAACAAGTATCGCATTGCAATCCATCATACAAAATACAAATTCTTCCATTTGTTCGAGGTCTGTTCATATCCATTCCACGCAAAAACATACAAAACGAAATCCTGCATTGCCTAAGGAAAAAAAATGCCCTCAATTCGACACAAACCCTATTTCCAAAACAAAAAAAAAATCACACAAAAAAACAGAATCAGCTATCACTCCGGCGCCGATACAACTCACCATGGAATCGACCAGATCTACCGAATAAAGCTCCAACAAATCGATACAAAAAAAAAGAAACAAAATGCAACCAACGAAAATCACGCCAAAATCCCCCAGCAGCAGCAGGAATCACTCATCACTCGCCTCGCCAGATCGCCAAGAACTCACCGGATACTCCACGAGACGCGCCCAAATCAAATCAAGCCCCCTTCCCTCTCTTCCTCCTCTTCTTTCTCCTCCTCGCCCACGAACGCGCAGACGACGCGGATTAGACTTGTGGCCGCCTCCGCTCCTCGGGCTCGCCAACTCACACGACGCGGAGCCGTTACCGTCTATATATACAGAGCGCGTATGAGATACGTATTCGTATACGCTTATACGAAATGACGGAAGTGCCCCTCCCTCAGTCTCTGTGCGGTATGGTCAATTTGGTCAGCTCAGTGCAGCGCAAGGTGGAGCCCACAAAAAAACTTTTTTTTTGTTTTTTTATTTCCTCTCCTTTGCTAGCCGATGGTTCTATCTATCTTCACGAAATCTTCGAGCAATCATTTTGGATTCCAGCTCTTTGACAAAGAGAAGATTATGTGCATGGCCAGCGAAATTTCTGTAAGGTTCAGAAAGCGAGTGTTTTTTAATAGAGTTAGGCAGCTCACTGCATCAATTACTACTACTTCCTCCAGACAAAATCAATTGATGTTTTGGACAAATAAATTATAAGGAAAAAATTAAGTGTCCAAAACGACAATAAATTTAACTGAAGGTGGTAAGCACTACTCCCTCTGTTTTATTTTTATATTCTTCACTAAAACTAAGGTGGAGAAAAATATTCTATTTTAGTTACTTCAATTGTTAAGATTTGAATTGCTTCAATTCTCTTTTCAAACATCTCAGTGACTGAAAAATGTACATATTTTCGTGCATAGTGCTACCAAAGATGTTTATATTATGGTATAAATTTAGATCTAAAAATGTTTATATTTTAGAATGAATAGAGTACTCCCTCCGTCCCTAAATGTAATAGATTTTGGTTGGAATAGTTAACAACAATTTATTCACTTTGCTCGAACAAACTAGAAGTACTGAAAAAGATGGTAGCTACAGTAGAAATTCAGTTGAATAGGCTTATTTTTATGTCATTTTTCTTCTTGTATGCATCGTTAAGTTCAGTGTTTTCAACAGTTCTTTCGAAAAGGAAGGAAAATTTTCCCTCATGACCCCAACCATCCCTTTCTTCTCTCCGGATCCATCGCATGCAATTTACCAATGATAGCACAATTAGCAGATAAGCATTGTTTAATGTGTGATGCCACATGTTGTGCACGCAAAACACGCATTCGGCCATTTGCCATCCTTGTACTTCTGGACGCATGCCACCCCAACATCACTAGCTATCCTCTCTTGAATACATGTATACGTACAAACTCTGCATGGTATGGTATGGTATGGCTTCTGTACACCTACCGTTCTCTATTTGAGATGCCCTGTACACCTACCGGTATCAAACGACATTTGCATCGATGTACGCCACATCTTCACGTGTGCCCCTGAATCTTCCCAACCTCTGAAAGCTATAGTTTCAGAAAGTTCAGAAATTTTGAAAATTGAAACTTCAATCGAGTATCTCCAGAATGTTCAGAGAGCATAGATTTCACATGTGTACTGTACCCTGATAATGGAACTTGAATGGAGTACTCCCTCCGTCCCAAAAAAAGACAAACCCTGATTTCCGTGCCCAACGTTTGACCGTCCGTCTTATTTAAAAAAATTATAAAAAAAATTAAAAAGACAAGTCACGCACAAAGTATTAATCATGTTTTATCATCTAACAACAATAAAAATACGAATTATAAAAAAATTTCATATAAGACGGACAGTCAAAGTTGAACACGAAAATTTAGGGTTTATCTTTTTCTGGGACGGAGGGAGTAACTCAAGAATTTGAAGTTCACAAAGATTCAGAATTTTAAGGCCTCATTTGAATCACAGGAATGTAAAAAAACGGAGGAATAGAAAAAACACATGATTTAAATAGGAATATAAAAGTAAAACAGAAGATTGAAAAATACAGAAATATCCATAGGAATGATCGTTTAATTGAACCACAGGAAAAACGTATGAATCAGGTGAGAGAGATAGACTCAAATGATTTTTTTTAAAAAAAAGGTTAGACCTCTTGCTAATTTTCCTCTAAAATCTATGTAGAATTATCTATTCCATAAGAATTTTAAAAGGAAATGATATGATTTAATCCTTTATTTCAAAAGCTTTCATACGATGTTTTTTCCATAGAACTACAATTATCTAAATTTCATATACCTTTTCCTACAAATTAAAATAACCCTTCGATGAAACTTCTATGGAGTAGGAGTACTGTACTCTCTCAAAGAAAATTCAGAGAATAGCCAGCTAGCTGTTGTCTGTTGCCCTCAGATTGAGCTATGCAAATCAGGTTTGCTGTTCCGAGGCAGGCAGCTGGACGTGATGGAGGAAGAACTGACGCCATTTTGCCACACAACAGTATTATCTTTAGGCTAGCTGCTGCTGATGACACTGACGGTTTCAGATTCGTGGGTGAGGAGGCAGAGGGGTAGTTTGGGAAACGGTGGTAGCTTCGAGAAACCCAGCCATTCTGCCAGGGTGTTCTCTTCACCGGCCGTGGCCACGTGCATGCCTCTGTGCCGGTGGCCCCACCGCACAGTTGCTCACCAAACAACTTTGAAAGTTTTTAAAATTATAAATAAATAGTATCATTTTTTTAAGAAACTTTGTTAAATTTGATTTTATTTTTATTTTTTTGCTAAGTTCAAAAATTTTACAAATTCGGTCGGAAGAACCTCCTACTTGGAGCCACCGGTAAACACGAAATTTTGGAGATCCAGAACCGAAATTGTAAGCCTGGAGACAGACACCATATGGTCTTGACGGTCATGCTCGGCGCAAGATGAAAATTTTCAGAGCTTTTTCTGTCATTTTTGGGGTCAGAAATGGAGGTCCACAAGCCTTGGCCTAACAGAAGACTTTCTTCTCATTGTAGTTGTTGCTACACAAGTCAATTCATTTCGGCCACGTACTAACATTGACAGTTGAAATGAATTCTTACAATTAAAATTCCTACGAATCTCTTTATCTCTTTTTTTTTTTGAAAAAGTCCTATGAATCTCCTCCAATTCAAAAGAGCCCTAAACGCCTAAACCCGGAGAGAGACGGATCCACTAGCTCCAAGGTCTTGACAGTCAATCTCGCTGCAAGATAAAATTTTGCAGAGCTTTAATTTTTCTGCCATTTTAGGGTCAGAAACGGAGGTCAAAAAATAAATAAATATTTTTGCTTTGGCCTAACACAAGACTTTCTTCTCATTTTCTTTGTTGCTACGGAAGTCAATTCATTTCGGCTACGTACCAACATTGACAATTCGAAATGAATTCCGGTCAGGCCAGTTTGAATTGTTCGTGTTCGCATCAATTCCTGCTATGAATTGATCAAAAACGTTGAAAGGTACATATATATGCAGGCGTGACTTCCTGGACAATAAAGCTAGCTATTCTTTAATTAGGTCCTTGCAGTGAGGCTAAGAACAAGCTAAGCTATTAGCTAATTAATTTAAGACTAGTAGATGATTTGGTGTACAGAATGGACAGTTTGCATTAGATCAAGTCCAACTAGGAAGGCCATCATCTCTGAAAGAATTTAAAAAGTTAAAATAATTAATCCAAATTGGCGTAAGCAGTATAAGCAGCTCTGGTCAAACTAGGTGATCGATGGATGGATCAAAATTGAATATATATATATATAGTCAAGAACCGAGCATTATTGCTTAATTAATTAATTACTAGTCGATCATCATATGATGAATTATTTGCTACTAGTACGTAGCTTTCTTGTGTTCACCTGTCTACTAGCTGCTAGCTACTTTGGTTGGATATGGACATACATATACTTGAAGTCATAACTAACTCGTTATACATGATTTATTAATTACAGTGCCAGTACGTAATCCCTCCATCCCTAAAATGCTAGTCAGATATAGAAAATAGAGAGAAAATAAGGAGAAGGATATGGTGTACTACTGATTCGACGGCTGAAACAAGAAGGAAAAAAAGTACTAGTAAATAGGTATAGTAAATCCCACTCTAAAATTATAGTATTTGTGTGATAAGTTCTTAAGCTAAAACTATGTAATCTCCCAATTCTCAAATTAATCATCATATAACTTTTAAGGTTATTTATAAATGATCAATATATATTAGTATATATCCTTAAGTTTATTCGTTATCCGTGTATCAGAGTAAATGAATATTAATAAATACATGCATCATACACCTAACTCTTTACAACCAACTAACCTGCAATACAATATTTTGATTGGTTATTGGTTAGAAAATAGTGGGGATAGTGCATATATTAAATTTATTACTGAGTAAAAGTAGCACGTGAGAATAATTGATTTTCGTTCATCTTAGTGTACTTATGTAATATGATGATTAATTAGAAAAAGAGTGAGTAATATTTTACTACGGAGGAAGCATTAAGCTTAGTAGAGACTTTAATCAGTTATACTCTATATGTTTCGTATTATAAGTTGTTTGATATTTCCACAGTTAAACTTTTTTAGATTTGACTATTATAGAGAAAATTAGCAGCATCTATGATGCCAAATTAGTTTTGTTAAATTTAACATTGAATATATTTTGACACAATATTTGAAAATATTATTATATTTTGTTATAAACTTAGTTAAATTTAAAGAAATTTGATTAAAAAAATTAAATAACTTATAATATGAAATGTATCGGAGGGAGTACTGCTCACGGATGTGCTGTGGTGCAGTATGATCACGCGGTTAATTTAATTACAGCAACGGACGGAGATGTTTGCTTTGCTAGCTTTGAATTAATTCCTCGTCGTTAATTTCGTTCATCAGTACTACTGTTCTTTACGAACTAGTCTCACTCACTAGCTGCCTTGCAGTGTCCTCGACCGGTCGTTAATTTCCATGGACACATCAAGGCCGCGTAATAAACATATATTGCTGGCACATATAATTTGACGGATCGTACTACGTATATGCCCGGACCACGACGTAAAATGGAGTTAGTGAGATGTTAATCTTATCTTATAATACGAATTTCATGCAAAAAATTGAAAGAAGAATTGTGCCACGTGGCAACACCGGTTTCGCGGGATGGCTCGATCCTGCTTGTGCGCGTGCAGCGTGAAACGCTCGTGTGCGTGCGTGCAGCGGTTGTCCAGAAGGTCGTCCAGAAGTTTCTATTGATCGAGCAATTAGGTCCATGGGGGCACAGCAGTCTATGTGATTTCTCGC